TCCCAGTCAGGGCACATGCCTGGGTTGCAGGCCATGACCCCCAGCAACCGCACATTGATGTTTCTCTCTCTCTCTTTCTCCCTCTCTTCCCTCTCTAAAAATAAATAAATAAAATCTTTAAAAAACCCCCAAATGTGCTTTAAAAATAAAATATATGTAAATGAAAGAAGCCAAAGATTACATATTTTTAGATTCCACTAATATGAAATGTGAGGACTAGACAAATCCATAGAGACAAAAGGTAGATTAGTAGTTGCCTTGGGCTGGAGAGTGAGGTAGGGGATTATGGCTAAGAGGGTACTGGGTTTCTTTTTGTGATAATGAAAATGAACCAAAATTGATTGTGGTGATGGATGCACAACTCTGAATATACTAAAAGCCACTTAATGGTACACTTTAAATGGATTAATTGTATGCTATGAGAAATGTATCTCAAAACTAAAGGTCTTAAAGAAAGAACTGGGTGAATTGAAGGGATAGACCATTTTATGGATTAGAGACGCCACCTAAGTACTGTAGGTCTCTATCCTGGCAGTAGGTCTTCGGATCTCAGAGCTCCTGAGGCTCCGCCCCTTACTCTGAGGGCGTACTGACTGGAAGTGGAAGTTCTGGCGGGCTTGCGTGTCACTCCACGTTCCTCTGGGTGTCTGAGATAGGTTTTCTCGCCTGTCGGCATCAGGGCTCGGTGCTTAGGCCAGCCACTCCCGCTGCCCAGGAGTCACTGAGCCTACTCCTTGCCAGTACCCCGTGTCCGAGGATTCCTGTGGCTGCCACTATTCTTCTGAGAGCGGTGCCTGCTCTGCCCGTGGGGTCCGGGCCGTGGCACTGAGTCTTGGGTGGAGGCAGGGCTTTTCTCCACCCTCCATGCACCTCTCTTCAAAAGCTGCCAAATCAACTTTTCTGCCCTTTCTCCAGAGGGGAAAACATTTACATATTTTCTGGGGAATGGCCCCAAGGTCATCTTCTCCTGACCAACTGGCGATGCAGTGCGTCCAGGTGAGCTCTGGCCAGCAATGCCTGGGCTGTGGGCTTCCGTTATTGAAGTTCGATAAGTTATTTAGGTGTTACCTGGTTGTCCATTGATCACTTGTTAACATTTTGCATATCTACTGTATTTCTGCATCTCTCTCCATGTGTGTTTATGTTGTGGAAAATTCATCCACGCTCGGGGAGATAACGAAGCACAAACTTTATTACCCCGGGTGGGCTCAGAGGAGAATCTCAAATTCTGAGCTCAAAAAGGCTGGGTTAGGGGTCCTTTTATATACTAGTTACACAGGCAGAAAGGGAGGGGGAACCAGCTGCTGAAAGCAAGCATTCAGAAGCAGGAGCAGGGTTAGTGACCTTCAGATAACATTACTTAGCAACTCTGCTAGCCGGCTCCTTTTCTAAAAATAACTTTTACTCAGCTTTTGTCCAGACAAAACTTGCAAGTGTTACAGAGAGCAGTTTCTTTTCCTGCCACATTTATACATTCTTTGAGAGCAAGGTGATTTGGCCTTTAATCACCTTATTTGGCCTTTAATAACTTTGGTTAGTTGCCTCACATGTAACAACGAAGAGTTATGTAATAACTCCTACAGATTAATACCCAAAATGAAAATGCAAGGGAAAAATGAGCAAGAGGTTTAGATGGGCTCTTTGGTAAAGATAATATATAAATGGACAACAAGTATGTGAATGGGTGCTTGATATCATCAGCAACCAGGAAAATACAAATTAAAACTACGGTGTGGCTCTGACTGATGTGGCCTAGTGGATTGGGTAACGTCCTGCAAACTGAAAGGTTGGATTGATTGCCTGTTAGGGCACATGCCTGACTTGTGGGCCAGGTCCCTGTAGGGGGGGTGAGTGAGAGTCATTTGGGGGATGTTTCTGTCCCTCTCTTCCTTCCTCCCTTCCCCTTTCTCTAAAAATAAATAAGTAAATAAAATCTTTGAAAATAACCCTACAGTATGGTAAGTACTACACACTGAATGGTTAAAAGTAAAACTAAAAAGAGTGACCTATGCATACACTGTTAGCAGAAACACATTTAAAGAGTATCAACTAAATATCTGTTGGTAACAAACCAGTAAGGCATGCACATGTGTACCAATTAAACATAAAGTTTATAGCATCATGATTTGAGGCATCCTAAAGTGGAAATAACTCAGAGTGTATCAAGAAGCCCTGGTCGGGTGCTCAGTTTGTTGGGGCTTTGTTGGGCTATGCAAAGGTTGCAGTGCAATCCCACTCTGGGCACATACAGGAATCAACCAGTGAGTGCACGAATGGGTAGAACAACAAATCAGTGTCTCTCTCTCAAATCAGTAAATAAAAATTTTTTAAAAAGTGGATCAAGAGAAGATGGATGAACTGTGGCATACATTTGCCATGGTATAAACTTCAGCAAAGAAAAGTACCAAACCATAGGTAGATAGATGAAATAATGGGAACCTCACAAATATGTTGAATTAAAGTAACCAGACACACACACACACACACACACACACACACACACACACACACACAATGCATGCTGTTTGGTACTGTTTCTTTAAAATTAAAAAACACACAGAATAGCCTCGAGTGTTAAATGTCAGGATAGTGGTTGTGATCGGGAGGCATGGAGTTAGTAATTTGGGAAAAAGACAAGGAGTATGTCTGAGATGCTGGATATGGGTATGTTCTACTTCTTGGCCTGAATGCTGCCAACCTGGGCCTGATCATTTCTTGAGAGTTCACAGATTTTTTTTTCATGATTGCCCCCCTTAATTGTATGTATGCTGTAATTCAGTAAAAGAATTTCAAGAAATGGAACCTTGAGGTAGCACACTACCTCAAGGTTGAGTGAGAAATACACAAGTAGAATAAAATATACTGAAAGGAGGAGCAAAAATAAATTCAATACTTAATGGGAAAAAGAAGTGATAGTAATATGAAAAGGTGACACACACATAATAATTTTTGTAGTTAATTATGAGGTAGTATGGAGGACTTTAATTTCAACATAAAAGAAAAATGATTCAAACCCTGTTGGAGTACCTAACATTAGAAATGCATTTTGGGTTTTTTTCTAAAATCCTAATATTCAAGTTAGGATGTCTCAGTCAAAATTGGAACCCTAATTTTGTAAGCGACATATCAATTACCAGTCTTCTGAAGTTCTATGTTTATCTTATCCCCAACTAGTCTTATCTCTGTATCAGGATTATATTTTTGTCTGTGTGGTACTCCTTATACTTTAATGGGATTGATTCTGTCTTCAACTATACTGCTCATCACCAACTGATACCAATTATCTGCTCATTATCTGCATTGCCCAGTTGAACTATGAGATGCTTGTTTCCTCCTTAGTGCCTAGTGCCTGGCCTAGCATAAGAAAGGCCCTTATTAAATATCTGCTGAGTGAATGAAGAAATGAGACTGAGGGAGGCAAAGGTTCCAAGTGCAATCAAGCTTCAGCAGGGGTACTCAGGGAGAGTACCCCTTCTGATTTCATAAAAATTTTTGTATTTCTCTTCATGATGGATAGTAGAGGGTCTAGAGTGAATTCTGGTCATGTCAGGAATTACAGCCATGGGAGATCTGGTGCTTGACACACTAACCTGTGTCTACTCTTGGCTCACGTTTCCTAATTGGTGATTTTGGGTCAGTTACGAATCATATGTGAGCCTTAGTTTTCTCATTTATTAAATGACAGTATTAGTACCCAACTTGGAGGGTTGTTTGGACAACTAAAGAAATTTATATATGTAGAACTACTTAACAGGTGCTCAGTAAATGGCAGTTACTAATATTTGCATAGTAAAGTATTAGTTTTTAATTTTTTTATATATTGACTTGAGAGAGAGGAAGGGGGTAGGGGGCAAAAGAGAGAGGGAGAGAGAGAAATATCAGTTTGTTGTTCTACTTATTTATGCATTCATTGGTTGATTCTTGGATTGCCCTGACCAGGGATTGAACCTGCAACCTTGGCATACTGAGAAGATGCTGTAACCAACTAAGCTATCTGGTAAGGGCAGTATTAGCTTTTTATTTATTTTATTTTTAAAATTTATTTATTTATTTATTTATTTTTAGAGATGGAAGAGAGGGAGAGAGAGAGAGAGAAACATCAATGTGCAGTTGCTGGGGGTCATGGCCTGCAACCCAGGCATGTACCCTGACTGGGAATTGAACCTGCAACACTTTGGTTCACAGCCTGCACTCAATCCACTGAGCTCCGCCAGCCAGGGCAGTATTAGCTTTTAATGACTGTCACATGTTTCATCTGCAGAGCGATGGCTAAAAAGTAGTGTTTGATAATCGAAAAAATCTCTGTTGCTTGATGATTGACATTGCAAGCCAGTTACCTAGACACTCTAGCATATGAAGAGAAAATGAGATCAACCCTTAATTTAAATTTAAAAGCTTCTGCTGATGAAGAAATGGAATGTTCTGGGAAACCTCACTGTCAGATTCCCAGTGTGCCAGCCATTGATTTGACCTGTGAGTGGTGAGTTCTTTTTGATGCTCTCCAACTGTCTATATAATTTCCTCACAAATGGCACATCCAGTGCTTAGGGGCTGAGTGGTCATGCAGTGGGCCATGTAAGCAGGATTGAAATGGCCAGGTGTGTATAAGTCAGGTTCCTGGAATTGGGATGCAAGAAGGTGAGTATGTGTTTTTTGGGGCAAAGTATTTATGACTCTTACCATGTCTGTTAAACAGCTCTGCCTTTCTGCACTTTAATGTGTGTACTCTAAGATGAAATTTTTAACCTGTTCCTCATGGGTAGCAAAATACTGCAAACCATTTTCTCACTCCAGGTAGCTCAAAGGTGCTTTGTCATATTACTGAAGTAGTGTTCATGGTGTGTTATATGCATGGCCTGGGACAGCTTAGGGGCATGTGATTGTTGGAACTGGACTGGCCTTGAAGTCCATGCCATTCTTCTCTCTGAGGTCATCTTCCTTGGGGTCCTTTCTGTTTCCGTGAGAGGAAAATTGAGGAAAGGATGGTAACTGGGTTACCGATGGATTTTTCTCAGGTGAGTAGAAAGTTGACCTTTCTTCGAAATGTCATGCTTATTTCTATCAGGCAGCCCTGACCCCAAGCTGCTTAAAGCATTATGACCCTGCTTAAAGAATGACTCTCAGTGAATTTCTGTAGGAATCCTGCTATCTCAGTTCATGTGTGCTGGAAATGATTTTTTTAATCTCAGATAATTTAGTGATTCTTTCTGATCCTCAATCATGCTTATTGTTTTATCCAGTATTACGACAGATTTTGTGGAAGGAAATGAAGATATCTAATCTTTTGAAATTTGTGTAGCTGTGGCAATTCTTTTGTTACTAGATTTTACAAAGTGTTACACTGTGTTCAGTGCTAACAGCAGCCTATAAGTAAAGGAGGAATAAAGCATGAAGAGCCCATGGTAAGGTTGTGGTAAGAGAAGTTCAGTACATGCCAGTGATACTGGTAAATTCATGTGACTGGGTGTAATAACCAGACAGTATCTAAAGCTAGAGAGAAGAGATCTGGGCTCAGGAATACTGTAGGCCTCTGGTCTACCTTCCTCAGTCCCTCATACATCTTTCTGAGGACATCAATGAAGACGGTACTCAGCTAAAGCCAGTGTGTATTTGATGGTTTAGCACTTAGTGACCTTTGAGGGTGTGGCTGTGGACTACGAGGAGTGGACGTTATTGGATCAAATGCAGAGAGATCTCTATAGAGATGTGATGTTGGGGAACTATAAGAATCTCATTACTCTAGGTATGGCTCACATTGTTTCTTTACTGAGTCCTTTATGAAATGAAAGTTTCTGAAGTACCTTTGCTGTCAAATTGGAAAACTGTGATAAACAAGACAGACATAGTCCCTGGTTTCATGGGCCTTTAATGTCTAGAGGATTTGCCATGAAAATGAAGTTCTATGTAAATAAATGACTTTATTTCCTGTAGGGACTAAGAATCTTAAGGCTTTAAACAAGTGTGAGGTTGGACATAGTTTTTAGGTCTTAGAGACCTACAGGCATTTGAGGGTAGAGAGAGAGAATGTGCTTGGATTTCTGTTTCTTTTAAAACAGTTTTATTGGATTTATTCAAAATTTTTCTTGATTATTTTACTCTTTCTAAAGTGAGACTTCACTGTCTTGAGAAACCCTGGAGGCTAAGGGGTTGGTTCTTAGTTCAAGGATATGTTTTTCACTTCTTGCAAGATCCTCTGTGTACTTTCCCCTTAAGCAAGGTATGAGCCATGCAAACCTGGTGTCAACTCTGGATTGGAAGGCGCAGAAGAACTGAGGACAGGAACTGGAGTTCTGCAGGGTGAGTTCACAAGCAGAACCTACAGCTTGTGAAGAGCAGTGCTAGCCTGGGAAAGGCCCAGTACCTTTGCAAATGCCACTTTGCAAACTTTTAAAGGTATATATACTCTTTTTCTGAGAAGGTTGAGGCCATTTGGTTTCTGAGTTTCCTCAGGAAGCTTCAACTTCCCTTTACCCTTAATTTCCATTGATCTCAGCGTTTTTGTGTTTTCTCAGAAAGATCTGTATGGCTTATTTGAAAATTTCATTTCTTGTAGGGAGCTCTTTTCCCAGTACCTTCCTATCTTGTCCTGATTCTATCATCTTTTTTGTTTACTGACAGCCTGAGTTTTGCCTTAAGCTTTATAAATTGCCTACAGTTTTGACAGCATACCCTTGTTACTACCAAACTCCTAACACAGCCACACTTTTTGTGGCCCATTTTTCTTTTTGTTTCACCTTTTTTATTATGTTTCATTCATATTTAGACATACACATGTACCATATACTTTATTTTGAGGTACAACATGCATACATAAGCCATTTTAGTGAGTGTAATTCATGGATATTGAGTACATTCACAGTGCTGGGCACCCATGAGTTCTTTTTAGTTTCAAGATATTTTTATCACCTCAAAAGGAAACCATGTACTCAAGCAGTCATCCCCATTTACCTCTCCTGCCAGTCCCTGCAACCACTCATCTGCCTTCAGTCTCTGTGGATTTACCTATTCTGTATATATCTTATAAATGGAATTATACAACATGTGAGCTTTTGTGTCTGGCTTTTTTCACTTAGCATAGTGTTTTCAAGGTTCATCCATGTTATGGTATGTATCAGCACATTCCTGTGGTGATACAGGAATGAATAGTGCTCAGTTTTGTGACTATATCACATTTTGTTTATCTGGTTATCCTTTTAATGGACTTTTTTCCCCCACCTTTATCAATTGTGCTATGAACATTTGTGTACAAATACTTGAATATGTGTTTTTCAACTCTTTTGGGTGCATAACTAGGAATGGAATTACTGGGTCATGTGGTTATTTTACGTTTAATTTATTAAGGATTACCAAACTATTTTACACAGAGGCTGTACCATGTTACACTCTCACCAGCAATTTAGTGACTTTCATCCATTATGTTTTGTATGTTTTACATATTTTTTAGTGTAGCCCCTGAAATACATGTTCTGTTAGCTTAGTCATTACTTTACAATGACAGAAATTCCTTAAATGCCTTAAGTCAAGAAAAGAAAACTAAAAATTCTCTTTTAATTTTTGTTGATTGTTTCTGGGTTGAGCCACTTCTTCAATGCTTAGCCATGTCCTTTGCAACTCTCCCTTAGCCTTCCTTTCTTGCTTAAGGGCATTCTTAAGGTCATTTGGAGGTGGAAGCTTTTGGTCCTCTCCAGCCTTTTGGAGCAGGCAGCCCACCTTGGGTGTGCTCACAGACTTCTTGATTTCCTTGGAAACACTCAAGTTTTTAAAAGCCCTCATTCACCAACAGATAACATCCCCAACTTGTTTCTTCTGAGGCTTGTCCCAACCCTTTTCTGTTTCCTTATGCTTCTGTGGCCAATACCTCACCTGCACCTGTGTACACTTTCAGCAGGAACCTCCTGGAATGCTTCCTCACTCCTGGGAACTCTTAGTGAGTGGATATAAAGGGGGGCTACTAGTCTCCATTGTACTAGTCTCCAAGGAAGGTGCCCAAGAGATCAAAACACACAATGGCAGTTCTTTGAGAACAAGGCCCGTATTGCTCCTTTTGGTACCAGCAACTTGCTCAAGGAGTGTGTCCTGCCATCTCTGTGGCTATATCTTCTCTGGAGAGTGTGGGTGACAGGTGGCAGGTTTACCTGCCAAAACACCCTCTTGGGGAAATATAGCTGCTGGTTTCTTTCCTAAGTGTCTCTTGGCTATTGTACCTTTTGATGAGATTCCAAATTCTGCAAGAGTTGGTTCTGATTGTTTTTGTAAGCTTGTTGTTTTCTGATGGGAAGGAGCCCTAGAGTTCCCTGTGCACTGTGCTCTGTGAGGTCATTTTCTGTGCAATATGTATTTGAACCAGTTGATCCTACAATTTTCCTCCAAACTTCAATTTTTTTACTTCTTTTAGCCTTGGATTTACAACTCAAAACCAAAGCTTCCACACATCTTCAAGATATTTCTGTGGACAAAACACCAAATAGAGTACAATTGGTAAGATCTCCAAGAAGTGATTTTTGTCTTCCACATCAGGGCCAAAAGTAAAAAAATCCATGCGAATTATATGAGATAAATGCTATTTATCCAGAGAAAGCAGAGTCTGTGAAAAGAATCTCTGAATATTAAGAATTTGAGGAGCACTGTAAACTTACTTCAAATCTGTTTATCCACAGAGATCTCACAAATAAACACCCACATATATGTAACTCTGTTGTCCAGTGTTTGAAACCCAGTTTGGTTTAAGTAATTACCAGAAAAACTCTCTAAGGTGCTCTGTGAAAGTAGAGAATATACTGTAGGGTACTGTCCTCAACTTGAACTAACTGAAAAAAGGACAGAAACTCTGTATACTGAATGTAAATAGGGAAAAAATTAATTATGATAATGATTCCAGTGCAAAAAAGTTGTGATGGGGGGACATTCTGTTATAGTGAGTGTGGGCATGTCTTTAATGATTGTTTATATGTTAACAGGAGAGAAGCAGGGCTGCAGTGAACCAGTGTGGGTCCAAATTTTGTGGAAAAGTATTCAGTGAACACCCATTTCCTGTGACTCACCTTAGACACAAAACTTCTAAGGGTAAGCAGAGTAGAAAAGCCTTCAAAAATAACTTTATTCATACCTTCAAGGCAATCCACACTGGGGAGAAAACTTCTGAGTGTGTTCAACCTGAAAAAGCCTCCAGTCAGCTTTCACATCTTACTGGGCACCAAACAACTCAGACACGAGGGATATATTGTGTGAATGCAAAGATTGTCAGAGAACATTTGATAGTCAGTCATTGTTTATGTCACAGATGAGATACCACCCTGGAGAAAAACCATATGAATGTAAAGAATGCGGGGAAACCTTCACCCATTCTTCAGTCCTTACAGATCATATAAAAATTCACAGTGGAAAAAGGCCCTATATGTGCATGGAATGTGGAAAAACCTTTACTTGATCCACAGGACTTATTTTACACGTATGGATTCACAGTGGGGGGAAAACTGTATGAATGTGAGGAATGTGGAAAAGCCTTTGTTCATTCTTCATACCTTACAAAGCATGGAAGAATTCACAGTGGGGAGATGCTATATCTATGTAAGGACTGTGGGAAAGCTTTCACCAGTTCCTCAGGACTTGTCTTACACATGCGGACACACACTGGAGAAAAACCCTACATGTGTAAGCAGTGTGGGAAAGCCTTTAATAATTCTTCAATGCTTAACCAACATGTAAGAATGCACACTGAAGCCATATGAGTGCAAGCAGTGCCAGAAAGCCTTCACTCAGTCATCAGGCCTTACTACCCATGTGAGAACTCACACTAGAGAGGCCTACAGATGTAAAGAATGTGGGAAAGCCTTTGCTCGTTCCACAAATCTTAACATGCACATGGGAACACACACTGGAGAAAAGCCTTATGAATGTAAAGAATGTGGGAAAGCATTTAGATATGCCACATGCCTCAATATTCACATGCGAACTCACACTGGAGAGAAACCATATGCATGTAAGGAATGTGGGAAGGCCTTCACTCAATCTTCAGCACTCACTAAACACCGAAGAACTAGGGCATGTGCAAAAACCTGAAATATTCCTCAGACCTTAGAATTTATTCACATCTAAACTCATCTGGATAAAGACCTTATGAAAGTAGCTCTTTCTCTTCGGTGAGGTGGCTGAGGTGGGGAGCAGCCTCCCCAGCAGGTGCAGAGATGCAGATCTTTTCAAAGACTCTGGCTGGCAAGACCATCCCCTGGAGGTAAGCCCAGTGACACCACTGAGAATGTCAAAGCTAAAATCCAAGACAGGGAAAGCACCCTGCCCAACCAGCTGTGTCTGTGATTTTTCTGGGCAAACAGCTGGAGGATGGCTGCACTCTTTCAGAATACAGTATCAAGGAAGAGTTCACCCTGCACTTGGTGCCTCCTCTGTGGGGGGACATCATGCAGCCCTCCCTCTGCCAGCTCACCCAGAAGTACAATTGCAACAAGATAATCTGCCACAAATGTCACACCCACCTGTACCCTTGTGCTGTCTAGTACTCCAAAAGAAATGTGGCCATACCAACAACCTGTGCCCCAAGAAGGTCAAATAAGGCCCCTCCACCACCTCTTCAGCCCACAGGTCAGCCTCCTGCCTGAACCCTGGCCCTTAGGCCTCAGTAAAGTTTCCCTTTCATTGGGGGAAAAAAAGACCTTATGAAAATAAATGATGCAGACCCTGGCTTGTGGGGTCTGCCACATTGTGGATGAGACACGAGACATTCACATGGACTACTGAGTCCCTTGGAGGAAAAGGGTGAGCATGGCTTTTCTCTCAAGGGGAGCAAAAGCTGAGGCCCTTGCTGTGACTAGCCTTCATTGGGTTTTTTGGCACATTACATGATGGTCCTCATTTGCTATGCACATGTTGGCTTTAGGTGGTTATCTTTTACAGAAAACAAAGGAGATGATGCCACTAATCACATCACAGAAGAATATTTGCAAATGAAAAGGAAAAAGTAGTTGAACCCATTACACTCATCCTTGGAAGGTTTACCATGGATTTTAGGAAGTTACTTTGCAGTAAACGTTTGCTACCTCAATTCAGGGTGAGGGAGTTTTAGCAAAAATAAGTCTCAAAGTGGCCTAGGTACATTGCAGACCTGATTCACCATGGGAGAACCTATTCATGGGGGTAGGACTTGTGCATCTCCAAGTGGGGGCTGGGACCATGCCATGCAGAATGGTCTCCTACAAATAAAGAATATTAAAAAGCTTTAGTCAGGTTTCATCCTCACATGATATGGGGGAACTTATTCAGAGCAGAATTTCCACTCATATAAGGTATGTGAGAGAGCAGTAATTGATCATACCTTAGAGAATGTGTAAGAACTCACAATTGAGAGAAAAACTTCTGTGATATAAGGCATGTGCAAAAGCCTTTTTGGTTAATTTTTGTTTTAACATTACTTTTACATATCTAAAATTACTATAAAAGCCATGTGAAGGTAAAGCTGACATACAGCCTTAAACTATTTTGCATGTTCTAATAGCACATGACAGCTGAAGTCAGGAAAAACCATCTGTGTGTAAGGAATGTGGTATAAAACCTTTACTTAGTGTCTAGGACTTGATGTCCATGTGAGACTGCAGATGGGCATAAACCCTGTGAGTGGAAAAGGTACCGGAAGACCCACATGTGCTGCTCACATCTTTTAAGAACTCAACATTTAAAAACTCTGTGGAGAAAGTCTTCAGAAATTCCTGAAGGCTTCAACGTGCAAGATGTCTCACGAATGTAAAAAATGTTAAAAATTGTTCAGGTGTTAACGAGTAAGTCATAACATAGAGTGGAGAGAAAACTTATGAGGGAAATATATGTGGGAAACGTGTATTTCTGCCTCATTAATATTTTTTGGTAATCTCATAGAGGCAGAAAATGTTACAAATGTTAACATACAGGAATGCGTATGTGAGTGTATTTTTTGGCTTTCAACCTTTAGTAAAATGATAATTCACACTGGAGAGAAATTGTGATTGTAGGGTACATGAGAAATGGTGTATCTATTTTATAAATCTTACACTACATGTGAAAATGCACCTGGAAAGAAACTAAATGAATATAAAAGTGTCAGAATGTTTTTTGGTAGATATATAACTCTCAAGAGACTTGTAAAGTACTCCTTGGAGGGACAAACTATGAGTGCGAGGAATTTTGGAAAGGTTTTAGGGACTCTTCTTACACAAGGGAATTCTTCCTGGAGGAGAAATTGAAATAAATGACATGACAATGAGATTGTCTTTCTGTGTGTCTTATTCTCAAGGAAAGCACCCATTCCCTTAATTCTCTGTGGTGGTTTTGTATTATGAGTTCAATTGCCTTCAAAGACACTCTAAGTAGAGTGTCTGCAATATTAAACTCATTTCATATAATGGTGTTTTCATTATAGTTTAGCTTTAAAGACTTCCTTATTACAGTATAATGTCTTCATTGAACTATGAGATATTTGATTGGTGATATAGGGAAATTTTATAATTTGGGGGGGTTACTTCTTTCTGATGTATTTGCAAGTGGATCATAAAATGGGCTATTTATGATAGCTCATTTATGGGATATTTTGTTTATTTATAGAAAAATTATCTCTGGCTTTGTATGGCAAGTAGTATCTAGTCTCTTCAGTGTTCTTTGTTCTTTGGTACCTTGTAAATAGGATCCAGATTATCTTCAGGCACATAGTTAAAAAACATTCCTCTTCTCAGGTGTTCTTGGATATATGGCTAATGAGAAGTAGGCAGAAGTCATTGGTGTGGATTCAGGAGAAGTTGTTAAAAAGGGGGCAGTTCTTATACAGCCACCTGTCTCTACCCTGCCTCAAAATCAGATACATTCCTAGAGTTTGGATGATAAATTTTGTGCTATAGGGATAAAAACTACAGACAAATAAAATGTGGTTGGTTGAAAAACACAGGGACACTTTCTCTGCATTGGTGTCTTTGCACATGCCATTGGCCTGCCTGTTTCTAGACTTCTTGGTACAGGAGAAAAACCAGCTTCTCATCAAGCTGACTACTTAATGTTTGAGAGACATCAGTGTACAGATGGCGCTTAAAGCCATTAGATGAGATGATTTCACTTGAGCACTGGCAAGCCCCAGGGAAATGCTACTTTAGCCATTGGGGTCATGGGAGGAAGTGGCAAATGGATTGAGTATTGGCCTGTGAAATAGGAATAGAGTTAAGGTTGGTGTCCATGACTGGGATTTGACCATGAATGGCACTGGGGACATTTTCAAAAGCTGACTTTGTGGAACAGAGTGTGCAAAGCTGTCATTAAACATCTCAGCAAAGATAGGTACTCCCTTTTAAACCTACAGTCTTTGCCCTAATATCCTGGCTTTACGTTAAGTATTAGTTGTCTGTTGCTGCTTTAATAAATTACCACAAAGGTAATGACATAAAAAAACGAATACTTGATCTGTTAAAATTTTGGACATCAGAAGTCCAAAAAGGGCCTCACTGAGCTAAAATGAAGGTATCAGTAAGACTGTGTCTGGGGGCGACTTTGCTCACTTGCTTTTTCCAGCCTCTTAATGCCTCTGGTCTCCTCCTTCTATCCCCAAAGCCAGCAACATCAGTCCAAGTCTTTCCTATGCTGCCTTCTCAACCACCTTCTACTTTTAAGGACCCTTGAGGTTACATTGGGCCTAGCTACATAGTCCAGGATACTTTCCCTATTTTAAAGTCAGCTGTTGTACAGCCTTAATTTCCCTTTGCCATGTAAACTCATATTGTTTTAAGGGTACCTGGGATCTGTCCTAATTGTCTATGGGAAAGCAAGCACACATGGAAATGACTGTCATGAAGGATGAAGTTTAGCATACAGTTCCCTAGAAGCAGGAGGCACAGCAAGCCATACAGGAGCTCTACCCAGGGAAGCAGTGGGGCTGGTCAGGAGGCAGTGTGAGCAAGGGGAGATGTGTGGCCACAGTGAAGGAGTAGGTAAGATAGAGTAAACTGGTTTGTCATTCTTTAGTTTAGATAATCTTAACAGGCTCTTGGGCACAGGGGCTGTCCCTAGATGGTCCCTAACCCTGGGGTGACTAAAACAGGTTGATAGTTATTTAGAGTTTGAGAGCCCCAAAACGGAGGGATGTGGGATAGTAGGCTCTGGATTGGATGATTTGCATGTTAAAGGGCTATTCTGGGATGACTTCAGCTATCTCTAGGAGTTGGTCAACCCTGGGAGGGACAGGCCCTCCAGTGTCAACAATCCCTCAATGCATCAATTAAAGATGGTGTTTTCTGACGCACATATTTACAATTTCCAGGTATCACGACATGGCTATCTTTTGGAGACCATTATTCTGTCTACCACACACCCTTCAATGTGTTTTTTTTTTTTACTACTTTTATTTTCAACCTTTGTGGTTTTAGTTACTTTGTGAACATTTTAACAGGATTTAAAAGTTCAATCTGGAACATCAGCTACAAGTTTTTAAAAAATTTTTTAGATATGATTTTTATTGAACATATGTAAATTTACATTATATATCAGCTACAGGTTAAATGATTCCATTACAAATGTTCTGATTACAAATGCAGTGTTTTTATTTCTGCTACCTTACCTTTATGCTGCTGTTCTGTGAGTTTTCTCATATTTAAAAGTTACAATTACAGCATACATACAGAAAATAGTGTGAAAGTTCATAAGAACTGATACTAGACTAGTAAGCCCCTAGGGGGCTTACTAGAAATGGAAGATTACCTTACCCATGAGTGTGTGCTCTGTATTGCACCACATGCTTCCATCTATGAGGAAATCTTGGTCTTGGAACTTCACGTTGTATCACTCACATTTTTAATTTTCTGTATACTATGATTTTTTTATCTCTTTGGGATTAGTTGCAATTTTAATGTGTTCTTGGGAGGAGGTGAGCACAGCATTTATCTAGTCTGCCGTCTTACTAAAATTCTGTGTGAAAGTTCTTGAGCGTGAAGTGGTATTTGGGAATTGCAAACTAGAAGAGGATGACTTCCAGGTAGGTGAATATGGGAATTACAGTATTCTGGGTGGTCATGCCTTCTTTCTTTATTTGTAGATTTTTT